TTGGCCTTCTTGGCCACCTGGGCACACTGCTGGCTCATGTTCAGCCGGCTGTCAACCAGCACCCCCAGGTCCTTTTCTGCTGGGCAGCTCTCCAGCCACTCCTCCCCAAGCCTGTAGCGTTGCCTGGGGTTGTTGTGGCCAAAGTGCAGGACCCTGCAACTTGGCCTTATTGAACCTCATACAGTTGACCTCAGCCTATCGATCCAGCCTGTCCAGATCCCTCTGCAGAGCCCTCCTACCCTCCAGCAGATCAACACTCCCACCCAACTTGGTGTCATCTGCAAACTTACTGAGGGGGCACTCGATCCCCTCATCCAGATTGTCAATAAAGTTATTGGACAAGACCATCCCCAATAATAATTGTGCTGGGAAAATATATGTTCAAATATTTATGATATTTTTTCTGCTTTGTATAGAGAGTGAGCAAGGAAAGGATTTTAACTTCCTTCTGGTTTGTTTTTGTGTTTGTTTTTTGTCATGCTTTTCAGACCGTTGAAAACTGTGTGTGCATTTTGAGGAACCTCTCATACAGGCTAGCTGCAGAAACATCTCAGGGACAGCAGATGGGAACAGATGAACTTGATGGATTACTCTGTGGTGATGCCAATGGAAAAGATGCAGAGAGTTCAGGGTGCTGGGGGAAGAAGAAGAAGAAAAAGAAATCACAAGATCAGGTAATGAAAGTTACTCGCAGCTGTGTTGTGAGTGGTTGAAGTGCCCATCATTTAAAATATAAATTATTAATGCACTGTATTAGAAATAAAGTGCATGATGCGTAATACACAAAACTGTTGCCTTTGTTAATTAGCCAAGAGCTTAAAGAAGACTATGGCTCGAATAACGAAAGGAAATATGTTTGCTTGAGAGAGTTGCACATTACGTGGTGGCACCTGGAAACTGTAGTCATGGGTGCACTGTGAACACCATAAATACCGTGAAGTGTTCAGTCTATTAAAGGAAGACATTTATAATGAAAAGTGTAAGTCTTAACATTCAGATGTAATCTGCATATACTTTACACTCTCTTCCCCACAGCCACCTGTGTGTAGAGAGGCCTTCATGCAAGCAAACATCAGGCTTGCATTTGTATACTTACTTGCTTCAAAGTTAGTCTTGTGCTTTGCCTCTACATTTTGAGAGAAAACTTTACAGGACTGAGTCAAGTAATATGAGTTAATGTTAAAAAAGCATGCATATTTTAATAAATCTAATGTCATTACACCAAACAAAGCTTGAGAAGTACAGTCTTGATAGTTTCCTCAAGTTATTTGAGGTGCTGTGGGTTTTTATTTTGGGTGGGTTGACTTCCAAAGCATATTTATCTCCTTGTTTTCCCATTAACAACTTAAAATTTGGTGACTGCTGAGAGTGATGTTAAGGAGAAAGACGTTGTTGTGTCAGTACACACACTAAACAACAATGAGCATGGCTACTGGTTTATGAACTCTTTCAAATGACCTGTGCTGGCAGCAGGCAGTTCTCCATCTCCTCCTAGACGTAGTCTTTTCCATTGCCATTTATTTCTGTTTCAGATTGCTCAAAGAAAATACTCATTTGAGTAAGCAATTAGGCATACAGGGTATTTGCATAAATGATGTAAACCAGTATGGAAAATATTCCTGAGTTCATAAAGGCAAATTGTGTTAATGTGGAAATGTTATAGGAACATTAGCAAGCTAAGATTCAGGTACTGAAAAATGCAGCACTCATAACTAGTAAGGCTTTAATTTCACCTACTCTTCTAGTTAAACGCTGCAGTCATCAGATAATTTGAATTTATTATGGCCTTTTGTTGGAATTTCTGTATTAGGCTACAGCGAGATAAGAAGTGCCAAAGCAAGTTAATTTTACCCCATAAAGCAGTCATCGTCCCTGTTCCTGAATTAATAGTTCACACACACTACGCTCTAGTTATTCAAAGTGCAGCCACAAAAATAGTGTATCTGGATATGAGTGGGTCATACTGCAACTTGCCTTTCTCTTTTGATGCTCTGTTTACTAACACACATGCACACACACACATACTATATCAAATCTTTTTTAACTTTTCTATTCCTTCTGTGGTTTCTGGATATCAGATTCGTACTTTTAACTCTTTACCACTGACTGTTTCATTGTTCCTGTCAGACTTCTCTGTATTTCAAAGGTTCCCTGTAAAGTCTTCCTCCTCCTCCAGGTCAAAGAACTAATCTCTTTTGGCTGATTTCCTTTACAATATACATGCTTCTGCCTGCTCTTGGGTATCTTTTGTCTGTTTCTATGAGCATTCATTATCAGCATGCAGCATGGTAAAGGTCTTTTCAGATCTGCTTTGTCTAATGGAAGGGTTTAATACAATTTTTAAAATCCAAAGAAAAGTAAAACTATGCACATATTTTCAGCTTTATGTTCTCTGGGCTTTTCTGTGACAAGGAAATAAATTCACTCTTTCAACGACTAATTTTGTGGTGCACAGGACCACTTCACCGTAAAAATATTTTTCTAATGATTTTTCTTCTTTCATCTCATTTCTTTTAAATCTGGACAGCCTGCCCCATCTTGCCATATACCAGTTCTCACCTGTGACTATTATTCAGTTCAGGAGTTTAAGGAAGCCTTGTGAGCCTTCTACAGAGTAGGCTGGTCTCACCCCATGATCCTTGACTGCTGTTGACTATACCAAACATTTTAAAATATGTTATCAAGTTAACTAGAATGCTACTAAAAACAAATGTGACTGAGGTCTATCAGCAAGACCACCATGCCAGAAACAGCTCTCCCAAGTTACTCTCGTAAATAGAGAAGAAAAACAGAAGAATGTTTTTCATGTAACTATGCCTTTACATTAATAGTATAGAGGTTGACCCCCAGCTCCAACTGGGGTAAGGGTAAAGGTAACTTGTGAAAAACACGTGACTATTTCTGTCTCAGACCCTAAGGACTGTAATTCTCTGCTGCCGCTGTTGTTTGTTATATTCTCCCTGCTGCTTACGTGTGATCAGGTGCTACTGCGCCCTCACCCCACAAAGCTCTCCAGCTGTAGAGGCCTTACATCTCCAACTAGGACATCATTGACATCAACCTCTCTGCCTTGTATCATCATACCACTCTTCAGATGGAAACTAATTTTTCCACCGCTGAAAATTTTGTCACTGCTGTTGGTATGCTTACTGCTGCCAACAGGTTTATTCTTTGAGCTGTATGAGAAATGAGTATTATGACAAAAAGCAGCTAGGGGAAGAAAAGATGTATAGTCCAATTTCAGTAAAAGAGTCAGGGAGTTGTCATTAATCCTTATTTTATTTCTTGTTATGCAGCCCATTATATACACATATGGCACTATTTCATTTCCTTTCTTCACTAAGAAGAAACAGGCTGACTTCTTGGCTTCATGCTCGTCTTGAGTTCCTCATCTGTGATCATTCTTGTCAACCCAGAATCGAGCCCAAAATCTGATTTTTTATTAGAATTGACACTTTTGAAATGAGCCTGACCTTCTCTTTCACCTTCTGTCAGGAGCTTTAAGGTATAAGAGCAACATTTCAAGTTATATATCATTATGAATTGACTGGCACACCTCTAGCACACTTGCTAAATGGGCTGTAAATTCTTCTATTCAGGTGAAATAGCAGGTTTAAGGCAATAATATTTCAAAAAGAATAAAAAATAGAGCTGTCAGATATAGCTTTTCATGTGATGAGACTACTATTTTACCAAGTATATCACAATACACTACTGAGCCATACATAATTAATAAGCACAGAAATGGAGAAATGGCAGTGGCTCCTGCGTTTAGCTAATAATCTAAACTGAGATTAGGGATGAAAGGCTGTGTTGCCAGTATGTTCTGCTCTGGAAGAATATTGTTTCCACTGGTTGCTTCCTTGTCTTGTACAAGGTAGTTATGCCAAGTGTTGATTAGCAAGAAATCAGCTATCTTGAGAAGCTCCTTACAAGAGGTTCTTAGCCACCATTTCTAAATTCTTGCTTGCCTACACAGAAACATGTCATATCCCCTGGGAATCTCTCAGTATCATGTATGACCAAGTTGTTTTCAACATCAAAACTACAGGGTTATTAAATAGAACTTGTATTTGTCCATTTGTGGAATATAGTGCAAAGCCCATTAGCTTCAGCTTCCTATGAAGAGGAGAGGAATGAGCAGAAGGAGATGTAGTGAGGTGCCAAATGTTGTTGTCCCTGGGTTGAACTCGATCCTGTTTAATTTGGGAGGGGTCTTGTTTTCAGCAAAGATAAAATACATACATAGAACGAAATTATTTTTCTTAGTGAAGTGTAATAATATAAAAAAGTTGAATAAATGCATTAACAATTATTTTAAGAATGTAATATAAAATCTGAAGTGTAATTTAGATTTATTCATATCTCAGATTAATAATAAAGATTCAAAACATTGGAATGTTTTGAAAGCATTCCAAACACCTTTCCCAAAATTGTAAACATTGTTGCATCATTTGGGGGAGGTTACCATTATTTATGAAATAAACTGTACCCAAAAATTGCCCAACTTTGTTGGGACTACCTGTTGCTGGACCACAACAGCTCTGCCCTACTCCTGTAGTCTCTGTGTCCATAGGCAACATTATTTATATTCACCACCTTTCTTTGGGTCTGGATGTCTAAACAGAAATTTGACTTGATTTAAATAGTGATTTTCCTGCCTCCTTTGTGTCAGCTGCAGGGATTCCCATCGCCCTTTGTTGTGGCTTAACTCCAGCCGGCAACTAAGCCCCACGCAGCTGCTCGCTCACTCCCCCATGGCGGGTTGGGGGGAAGAATTGGAAGAGTAAAAGTGAGAAAACTCGTGGGTTGAGATAAAGACAGTTTAATAGGGAAAGCTAAAGCTGCGCACGCAAGCAAAGCGAAACAAGGGATTCATTCACCGCTTCCCATCAGCATCCCATCATTCAGCCATCTCCAGGACAGCAGGGGTCCATCATGTGTGACGTTTACTTGGGAAGACAAGCGCCATCGCTCTGAATGTGTCTCCCCCCTTTTCCTTCTTCTTCCCCTCAGTTTTATATACTGACCATGACGTCATATGGTATGGGATATCCCTTTGGTCAGTTGGGGTCAGCTGTCCCGGCTGTGTCCCCTCCCAAGTCCTTGTGCACTCCCAAGCCTACTCGCTGGTGGGGTTGGTGTGAGGAGTAGAAAAGGCCTTGACTATGGGTAAGCACTGCTCAGCAATAACAAAAACATCCCTGTATTATCAACGCTATCTTTAGCACAAATCCAAAACATAGCCTCATACTAGCTACTGTGAAGAAAATTAACTCTATCCCAGCCAAAACCAGGACACCCTTGAAAGCAAGCCCTGTCATTTTGATTAATCTTTGTTGCTTAATTTTAGATTTCTGCTCTTGACAGCATTGGCCAATGCATCTCTTGGACAAAGGTTTCCAAAAGAGGTTGTTGGACTGACGTGCCTGGGGACAGCTGGCATAGACTGCTAAGCCACTAAGATATGCAGGCTGAGAAACCATTGTCATCTTAGGGAGCCTGTTCGTTTAAGTCTTTGGCCTTCCAAAAATGCTTTTGGTGAGCACTGTTTAATTGCTGATATAAATTTTGTCACTGCTGCTACAAAGAGCATAGCATCTTGTACATCTCAAATGTCTAGGATCACTGGAGAGATATCAAGATGGTTTTATTCATTGCTGGGTTTTGTTTGAGTTTTTTCCTAGATCTCTTTTTTTTTTTTTTTTAGTAGCGGTATTTTGCACAGGCTGGGGGAAAGGAAAATACTCATATTTAATAAATGAAAATAAAACACTGTTGTTTTGTTATCAAAGGAAAACCTATCATCATGTGATACTCCTTAATAACAAACCCCACCAAACCCTAACTTCTGTTAGTACAAAAACCAAAATATGGAGAGTGTACTTCTCTTACTAAGTTGAAGCCTTCCCTGGTATTCAGTACAATTATACTGTAAACACGGATTTGCTTTCATTAAAATGAGAAAGAAGGTGGTAGATAATCTGTTGTGTGGCACAGGGGAGCATCTCGATAAGCGATCTTTTTCTTCTCTCAAACTGGCTTAGTAATGTGAAAACTTTGGAAACTTTTATTAGAGTACTCTTAGTCTCAAAAGTCTGTGTTCTTAAAGATCTTTATATTCGGCTTTTTATTCTTCTCGACTTTCATCCTTTCTTTGCACCACTTTCAGGAAATGAGAGATTTGTATCTCACCCATGTAACAAACAGTTTGTCAGCTTCAACCACAATATATGGGGGTAATTTCAGCTGAAGGAGGGAAGCCTGGAAGGAATATTTGTTTATGACTTTTTTTTTCCTCCTTAGCATAAGCTAGGAAGAGTAATTGCATGCAGTCGTCCTCTTTTTCAGAGGTTCCTAATACATCCACAGCCTATCTCAAATAGACCTCACTGATCATTCCTGATGGTCTGCAACAATACAGTAACTGTTCCAGTAATTCACTGGGTAGAGTTGTTTCGCATGCTGCCTCGGTTCATTAATATTGAGCAACATGAACTGCAAAGCAACTTCTGCCATGCCTTAGCCACCATTTGAGAAAATGGACTGCAATATCGTTTGGGGGGAAATATTTTTTTCACTCGGGCAATTGAAGTTTGTATTTATGAAATACAAAATAAATGGGTGAAGATCAGGAGAATCTCCTTTGCACTAGCTTCTTTTCTGACCTGTATCAGTGCTGCATGCCCTGCAGCAGTTGGGCTGTATAGCTGCAGGCGCTGGTCTCGGCTACGGGGAAGATGCCAGAAGCCATTCAGCCCTTCAGTGAAGGGTTAGCTGAGGTCACACATGCAGGAGCAGAGAGGAGCTGAAAGAAGGAGTGCCTGACAGGTTATGGTTGCTTGTGCCCTCTACATCCCAGGAAGTGGCTACAGGAGCATCTTTTCTGTCACCCTTTATCGCATGCCCTTGAAGAGGCCACCATAGGCACAGCATGTACGTTACGCGTGGTTGGCAGTGACAGCCTCCCGGCGCATGCTGCTCAGCTGCTCTGGGCACACGCGCCACGTCTGAAGAACAGTGCAGGACATTATCCAATGTCAGTGGATTTACTGCACCTTCACTGCACATTGCAGGTGTGGTACCAGACTTCCATCACCCCTACAAGGACCCTGAGGCGTCACAGTGTCTTGAGAAAAACCTCTTCCCCCCACAGTTGCTAATAAATGAATGCAATCATGTGCTAAAAGAAGGCAGCAAGAAGGGCAAGGAAATGCAGTAATTTGTCTCACTTTTTTTTTTTTTAAATGTTTTCCCATTACTGGTCAGAATGGCAAAACTACATTGGATATTAATTTATCTGCAAGTGTAATTTCTAGTGCTTTATAAGTAGCAGCACAGCATGAACACATATACAGCTCTCCGTTAGCTGATTTTCAGCAGTGGGAAAATCGAGATTTGTATTCGGTATTTACAATTTGGGATTGTAAATACCTGAGTTTAAAAAAAAATTGTATCCCCACATGTGCACAAAGTACTGGGTCAATCTGATACATTTGATATATTATATGTACTTTGTCCCTGAAATAAGTACTCTGTGCAAACGCTGTTCAGTTGCATAATGTGCCCTTAATTAGTGCAAATTGGAATGAGAAGGATGAAGACCTGAATTTGTGCCCTTGGACATCACAAGTTGTTTGTTAGTGGACTTACTAAGGTACAAAGTCCAAATCTGGTGTGACGTCAGATTTCACATGTAAGACATGTTTCTCATTTGTTTTCCAAAAAATTCTGACAGCGCAAATGATTGAATTTCGAGAGTTAAAATAAGCAGCAGGTTTTTATGTATTTTTTATGAGCTGACAAGAAGTCATTTCTGGCAAGGATAGTGTGATTTATATAGAGAGAAAAGGAGAACTGAGTCACATACAGTGGAATCAACCTATTCGTTTAAAGGCAGAAATGTATTAAAAAAATTCAAAGGCACAGCCCTATCACAGTGTCATTGGAAGGGATTGTTTCTCCAGAAGGCAATTTCCCTGTAGATTGTCAAACACCACTGGGTATTGTTGTGCCAGTTCTTTTAAACTATGGTAACTTTTGTCCAGTGCAGTGTGTTTCGTATCTGAGCAGCTTTCTGGTTTTGAGTAACTGTTCATGTGTATTAAATGGTCCCACTAGTTTTCAGTTTTGGTGGGTTTTCTGCTTTAATTTAGAAAAAATAGTGTTCTGGATTCTCAATGGTAGTAATCTAGCAAAACCTTGCTAAAATTAAGCTATGTTTGTTGTTGTTAGATAAGGCTTGATTGATTGTCCCTTAAATTATATGTAAATTTTTAAAGTTAGCTTGAATAAAATGATGATTGATACTTCCTGAAAATGAGGGATGCTAGATCTTCTCCCAGTGCAAGTATCATTGTGTTGTTTTAGTCATAACTAATTAAATCAGCCTGGAAAATTAACTGTTGCAGATCTAAACGAGGAGTTAATTTGGCCTGTGCTATCTTTGTATGTCTAGTAGGTGTTTAATGTTGTGATACGCATTTTTTATTTACATAATAGCAGTAAGCTTTAACCCATGGCATTAGAAGGTTTACTTTGTATCGTGTCATGCAATCCGTACGTCAGAGGTGTTAGAAAAGAGATCGTATTAAGAAGTCGGGGCTTGTTTTTAACACTGGTATTAAGGCTATGAATTTTCTAAATCTCTTTATCTGTTCAAAGCAAAGGAAAATATATATTGTATATATAGATTAAAATCACATTTAAAATATTATTAGAAGTGCCTTCCACATCTTACTTTTGTTTTAAAAAAAGCAAAAAAAGTCCTTGCATTACCTTCTGTTCAAGATGTTTCATGCTTATGTGCAGTATTGTGCATTCCACTGGAGAGGTGAATGACTCTTCTCCTGGAGTGAAGTTTCTCTTTCTGGTACGAGTGGGTTTTGTGCAATAAGCTGCTTGTTGTCCAGGTGTTAGTATTGCCCACTTGGGATATCAGACTAGGGTTATTTTCATGGCAAAACTCTGTATGTGATGAGAGGAAGAGTCTGTGTCGTGAGAGATGGTTGTACTTACTGCCTCAGAGTCTCACACTGTATGGCTGGCTGGCTGTATGGCTGAACGCCTCCAGAACTTGCGCGACGAGAAGCCAGAAGTTGAGCAGTTGGAGAAGACTTGTCACACTTGGGCCTTTCAGGGGTGGAGGGCTCATGGCCTTGCACGATTTCATTTACCATATTAGTATTTGCTGTTGTTTTTTCCCTCTCATGAGAAGAGAGAGAACACGGAGAACTGCAGGGCATGAAAAAGGAAATTCTCTTCATATCCAAGTTCTAGATTTGCCTCTTAAGATACATTCACGTTCGCTGGTCTTCTGCTCGCACCCAAAAAATTAAATGCAGTGAAAAATGTTTTTGTTATGTCATCTAACTAAAACACTGTGATTTCTGCCAATGCTATAGCTCCTCTGTGAAGAGTGTTGAGTAAGAAATTTGGTTTCTCTATGAGGAATCACGTGATATGCTAAAATTGAGAACGTCTGCTTGCGGGCAGATACCTTCGCCCATGCAGACGTAGATGTTACAGCTTCAACTGAGGCAGTTGTCAAGTATTCTGCTGTTCCTTGCTGACGACCTAATTTGTACTTTCCAACAGTGGGATGGTGTAGGACCTCTCCCAGACTGTGCAGAACCACCCAAAGGAATCCAGATGCTGTGGCACCCTTCAATAGTCAAACCCTACCTCACACTTCTTTCGGAGTGCTCAAATCCAGACACACTGGAGGGGGCAGCAGGGGCACTGCAGAACTTGGCTGCTGGGAGTTGGAAGGTAGGAATATTAACCTGATCTGTATTTCTTTTTTAGTTCAGAAAACCTCTACAGATGACAGGAAATTGGTGATACAAATGTATCTGAATGATCCTGGTAGTGGAGTAACTCTCTGTTTTCGCAGAAGTATCTGCAGTCAAATTTGAGATAGTATTTTAAGCCCTCTGAATTGATACAGGTAGTCATATCATAGGACAAGTCAGCATGCTGCAGTGAAGATCACATTGATCAAGTAAAGTATGAAAAATTGGCACTGAAAACCAGTAACCAAATGAGGAGAAGCAGCATCTTTATGAATCTGGGGTGACAGAGCCATGAAAAATGAGCCAAAAATATCACCAGTGACAATCAAATGAAACCGTATTGTTTTGTCACTGCAGAAACTGGTTGACATTTTGTCTCTTAAGAGAAACCAGGCAAGAGCAGAGCAAGATATAAATGATGTGACACCAACACAAGTAATGTTACCATCTACTTTTAAAAAAAAATAAGACATTATTAAAATGCGTCAACAGTATGATTAAATATGTACAATGAGCAAGGAAATGCTCAGTCGAGACACTCTATTCCAGTTCGTCCTACTTTTGAATTACAATGAAAAGATCCATTTTTCTCTCTTGTATTATTTGCAGTGAACTGAGAAAAAATTGAAGAACTCATTTATTAGATTTTGAAATTATTTCTAAACTTAGATCAAATCAATAAAATTCAAGATAACAGTTGAGCCTGGTTTACTTTTTAGGGCAATCTCTTCATCACTTTCCTGATGGTAAACTGGTTTGTTTGGATTAAAATACTAACTATCTGGTCCTATTATATAAAGATAATGCCTTGATTTTAAGTTAACTCTCAGTGGGAATATTTCACATTTATGATGAAAACATGCATGTATGGGGAAATGCAGTTATCAAAGTTAGGTTTCAGAAGGTATCCTGTTTGGTTTTTAAGCACTTGGACATTTGTATGTGAAATGTAAATACCAAGTTAATGAGGCATTCATTTTGGAATGTTAGCCCTGAGGCTAATAACTTACTTTTTTTCCCCTGAAGTTTTATTGGAAGTTGAGTTGGCACATTCAGTGGATCTTCACAGGCATGTGATTTTGTTTTTGAGCCCACCAAACCTATGAAATGCCTTTGACCGTTGCATTCATTGACATATGAAATGAGTAACAAAAGTATCTGTCCAGTGATTTCTGTACTGCAAAGTGCTACATATACACTGTGCCTGAAAATCATTATACTTTTATTATTCTCATATTGTAGACCACATCAGATTGTGTAATCCTGGCACAGAAACATGGTAAATGTGTTTTATTCATCTGGGAATGGGTGTAGCCCTGGTCCAAATGAGAAGACAATGCATGCGTATTTGCCAGGACTAATAGGAGAGCTAAAATGCAAGTGGTGCCCCTTCTCCCATTTCTAATAAATCTGTACCTGTCATCCTTTAGTTGGCAGAAGTGTATGGTGGCGAGAGGAAGGAAGGCTCCACAGAGCTCTTTGGCAAGTGACGCGTTAGAAAAACTGTTTTGAACTTTAATACTATGCCTGTCGATACCATGGGAAAAGCTCAGTTGTTCTCGTGTTGCTCTATTTTTCTAAAGATTCACCAATTCCATTACAAGTGATGTGCAGACACAGAATGAATATCCTTAATTTCACATGTGGTACTAGCCATTTTTGTGAGGGGAATAATCCTCTTTGGGGATTACATAATCATTGATGTTTTCACCTTTTGACCTCTCTTTTCCACTGCTGCAGTCTTCTGGATATAAAATGACTAAATAATAGACAGAAAACTCTTAAAAGAAGAGGTTATTCCTAAGGGAGGTTTTCATTTTCTTAGTTCCTCCAAGAAATTGTAATTGTATAAAGAATGGGAAAATATTTCTTTTTTTTTTTTACTTGAAATCTTTCAAGAAGAACTTTGTGATCGACTGAGAGAGAGAAAAAAGAGCTAACTGCATTAAAATAAATAATGTTGCTATTAATATTAATAGCAATAGCAATTGTGGTGGGTTTTTTTTTCCAGTTATCATTATTTTAATGCCAGAAGAATCCTAGAATATATGAGGCAGCCAGTGCACCAGGCAAGCTCACACACTTCCAAAGATGAAGTCTCTTCTGGAAAAAAAATACAGTGCAGTTGGTATACTTGCATAATTCTTTCCTAGCCGTTTCACCCTTTTGGTTCCTCTGGTATAAAGCTGTCTAATCCTCGTCTGTGACTGAGAGGTAACACTTATGACACAGGCAGTGCTTAACCAATGCCATTATGAAAGGAAAGTGAGCAGATAAAAGGAAGCCCAAATAATTTTTAAAAAATAAAAAATTGTGCAGGCGATTGAGATATATGTCTGCCACTAGAATTAACAGATGATACGGATCTAAATCCCCTAGACTGCTTTCAAAAATTTCAAACACAAAAAGAAAGCAGCAGTACATACCTTGAAGGATTAATAGCTGAGAGAGGCCGAAAGTTTTCATTATTTCAGGGCATATAGTCTCTCATTGATACATACACATAAAATCAACACATGCACATAATAAATCTTCATCTGTAGGACATTTTTAGCACTTTTTCAGTTGCAGGAATTCCTTTCAAAGCTAAATGCTAACAAAAAAGAAAAAAGTGTGACATATATATGCAAATAATTTTTCTATGTCAAGATAAAACACTTTGGACCAAAGTCTTGCCAGATATTACCCATCTGCAAAGTAAACTTTTTTTTACAATGACTAATACAATATTTGGTCTGTGCAATTATTATTAGAACCAAGACAATCTATAAGAAATCAGAAAAGGAACATACTGGTGACAAACACATTAATAGATGCAAATGAAAGTTTACCAATAAAACAGGATACTGATCTGAGGTATGAGGAGGGATTTTTTTCAGTGTGAAAATTTAACCTGGGATAGAACACAGCTGCGTATCTTGACTTCGATATATATTCTGGTTCTGAAGAAGAGATTGACAGCTTATGTACAAAGCGAATCTCATTTTGGAAGAGGCTGTTTGAGGTGAATATGGAAGTTCATTTATCTCGCTTTTCTGCACCAAGACGTCATTTCATAGGGAGGACACTGGTATTGGAATTTGAAGGAAGCAAAGCCATTCCTTTCATCGAAAAATATATACGTATTGTCGCAGATCTTTCTTTTTTGTTCATGAACTTATTTGATGCATCTACGCCTAAAATGAATGGCCCTTCTGGAATAATATATATGGAAATGTCCAAATATGTATGCTTTTGGGTGGGATTTGACATACTAAAGTTTTCCACATCACTGCCAGGATACAACTTTGTTTAAGGTCTGACTACTGCATTGCACAGTAGCCTATGATACTAGCAGTTGGTCACTGCATGTCCCTCTCCTGATGGAGTTGATGACTACTAGCAGTACACAGCCTACGGGTCAGGTTGTCAGTGCAGTACGTGCACGCACCTACCTCCTTCTGCGGAACTCAGAGTTCTGAGTGGGTTTCTGTTTGAGGGGAGTCATTGCTTCCCAAAATATTTTCTCCCATCAAATCATAACCAGAGTATTTTCACAGTATCCTAAACTTCCTACAGGCAGAAGAGGCAACGCATAAAAAGGGTGGCCATTGGTTTTGGTTTCTTTCATTGCCACTTGAAGAAATATTTTTTTCCAAAAGTAGATTTTTTCTAATGAAATGTAATATGAACTTGTATTTTAAAGCCGCTTAGTAATACGAAAGACAAATCTAGGCAAATACATTCCTCATCAAGCTTAGCTAGAGTTTTCACTAAGCAAATAAGGCCTTTGGAAGCAGTGGAGACTCTTTACTTCCCATTATGTATTTACTTTCATTGGGAGCTCTTGTTAGTTTTCTTTGCCACTTAATTTGGGGTTTGCCAAGTTTGCTCACAAATGCACAAATAAAAATAGGTTTGCTGACTCACTCAGCTGCATTCTGAAGACACTTGCCTGCTTATTAAGAAATTCTCTCACTATAACACTTCAAACCTGAAGTCCTTTCTGCAACCTCATATCATTATTTATTTTAATACTTGGGGTTAAAAAAATTATGAGGTATAAAATTACAAGACTTATCCTGTAAAAGGAAATCTCCGCAGATCTTTTTATATCTAGTGTGGCATCAGTATTTTTCCTTAGATGGTGGGAATAAAAGCAGTACGTTCTTTTTAGTTTTCACCTTGGTCAATTGGCTATTAATACATTAAATCTACTGAGCCTGTAAAAAGCTGTATGCAAAATGTCCTAGAGTTAATGATGTCAAGAATCCCAAAGTTATGTCCCTTCTGGACAAAATTTCCCCTTCAGGAAGAAAGGAGATATTGGGATATCTGCATATGCCTATATATATGTGACAGCTAACTTTAGACTGATGTCAGTTTATCTGCCAGAGACAATTCTGCAATACCTGTTGCTGTGAAGTCATAAGTTAAACCATGACAGAATCACAGAAGGGCTGAGGTTGAAAGGAACCTTTGGAGGTCATCTGGTCCAACCCTCTGCTCAAGCAGGGTCGCCTAGAGCCAGTTGCCCAGGGCCATGTCTAGACGTATTTTTAATGCTCCCAAGGATGGAGACTCCACAAGAACCACAGTTGTGCCAGTGCTTGGTCACTCCCACAGTGAAAAAGCATTTCCTGATATTCTGCAAAGCTCCAGTGTTTCATTTTGTTCCCATTGCCTCTGGTCCTACAATATTACCTTTTCTGTTACATGCAGTTAAAAACAAGGTATTGTGACCACAAGTAGGATTTCCTTAGTTTTCTCAAACCCTTAAAAATAATTTCTTCATGCATATGATCCTGTTTCGTTTTAAGATACTATGATAAGTTATATAGGTAATACATATCTTTTAAAACCAGGAAACAAGTTCTACTATATTTCTGTTGGAAATGTAATGGCTTACATTAGAACAGGTAGCACACCTGCTCTGGGTCTTGTTTAGTCCTTTCTGTGTGCCCAGTCTTCTGTCCCAGTTGCTTTCCAGGCTTTAAA